AAGAGCGGTATAGAAACATCCCCCCCCCCAAGATACATAAAAGAAGTGTCTTCCAAATCAGAATCAGCTGCAATCTTTATCAAGGAGTCCTTTTCTTTAAATGAAACTAAACTAGCTTCAGCTAGTCTCACCTTTGGCGCTTTGGTGTAGTGGTTAAGTGTGCGGACTCTAATCTGGGAGAACCGGGTTTGATTCCCCACTCCTCCACTTGCACCTACTGATGTGACCTTGGGTCAGTCACAAGCTCTGGCACAGCTGTCCTTGAAAAAGAGCAGTTTCTGTCAAGAGCTCTCTCAGCCCCACCCACCTCACAGGGTGTCTGTTGTGGGGAGGGGAAGGGAAAGGAGTTTGTAAGCCGCTCTGAGACTCCTTTGGGTAGTGAAGGGCGGGGTATAAATCCAATCTCTTCTCTTTTTCTTCTTCTTTCCAAATCATTTGAGCACAAAACAGTGCTCAGTGACTCTGCTGTCAGCTGATGAAGAAATAGCGTTCCCAGTTACTTGAGCTTGGAGGTTCCACTAAAAGCAGGCCATTTGGCTCCATATCTCCACGCCCTTCGAATTCCACAACGACGTAGAACTTTTTCATTGGCCAGATTTAATGTTATGCCGTCTGCAATCCTATGCGGAAGATTTCAAAAGGGGCCATATTCGGCTAGATATCGTCCCCGTCAGGGGTCATTTTGTAGAAAAAGAGGTGCAGGAGCTCATTAGCATAACTTATTAGCATATCTTATTTGCATATGCCACACCCCCTGACATCACCAGAAGTGTGTCAGAAGGCAACACCCACCGCTCGGGCTCCGCTGGACTGTTTTGGATTGCTAGCTATTGCGGTGGGGGGGGGACGGACGTGCAGATCTGTCCTCGGAGGAGGGAGAGCTGGTACCTGAAGGCGGGCCGGGGGGGGGGCTCTGCAACTTACCTGGCTGCTTCTTGCTCCTTGTGGCCTGACTGAGGGCTGCTGGGAGCAGGGGGTGGGGCTTGTTGCATGTGCCCGCCCCCTGGGCTCCTTACTGCCAAAGCTCCGCTCCTGTGCGCTCCTGCAGGAAATGACCCCTGGTCCCCGTAAGTCAAGTTGCATTGAGTCAATTTCACATATCCTTTTTGATTGTCCTTTTTATGTAGAAATTTGAACTAAATATCTAAACCCTATTTTGGCAAGTAAGACGGGATTCTCAGATCACGTTAAGGTTTCTTTTATCCTGAATGACTCCTCTCTGGATATGATTGAGGAGGTGGCTATATTTTTGCAGTGTACTGTAAAGTTGTGCTGTGATAAGATATGAAGAGTCAATTTGATGGTATATTTACCCAATTGTAACTTAAAAGCAATCTTTATTCTGTGTTCCATCTTATCTATTTTATATGCCAATAAAGGACTGATTGATTGATTAATACCTAACCGTGGTTAAGCAGGAGGGGAGGGGCGGGCTGGCATTGAGGTCTGGGACAAGGGCATAGACTAGAGGATGACCCAACAGAGTCTTTGAATGTAGCACACAGCAGAGCAAAGGGTGTCCCACTTTAGATAAGAAGAAGAGATTGGATTTATACCCCGCCCTTCACTACCCGAAGGAGTCTCAGAGCAGCTCACAATCTCTTTCCCCTCCCCACAACAGACACCCTGTGAGCAATGTTCCCTCTAAGCCGTGAAGTCTTGGGAGCAAACATTCTACTTTGTGAGCTACTGGCATTAAAGCTGTGAGCGAGCGATTTGGCTGTTGCATAAATCAGTTTGCTCTAGAGAGCCATCCTTCCTGAGCTAAGGCAATAATGTGTGAGCCGAAGGCTAAAAAATTGTGCGCTAGCTCACACTAACTCAGTTTAGAGGGAACACTGCCTGTGAGGTAGGTGGGGCTGAGAGAGCTCTTTCGAGGACTGCTCATGAGAGAACAGCTCTGAGACAACTTGTGACTGACCCAAGGTCACACCAGCAGCTGCATGTGGAGGAGTGGGGAATCAAACCCAGTTCCCAGATTAGAGTCCGCGCACTTAACCGCTACTCCAAACTGGCTCTCATAAAGCACATTGACAGCATCCATTGATAGTGCGATCCAAATTATTTTTTTTAAAATCAGTTTTTATTCTTTTTGTGCCAAAGTCATCGGCTGATTTTTTATTTTGTTTTTTTGGAGCTTTGGTATCCTGCCCGCCTCTTTCATTTTCTATTAAACTTCTCATTTAACAACATGTTTTTTGCTGTCAGATCTCGTTCTGCAAAGGTTACCTAACACTTCATCTGGGTTTTTCAAAGCTGGGTATTGCTGCCAGACTTCACAGTGGAGGACAGAGACTCTCTGGGTTTTTTAATGGAGTGTTTTATATTGCTTAATACTGTGTAAATTGTGCTAATGATCCTCTGGATCGTTTGATGCGCAAGATGAAGAGTACCACAAAACAGAACTGAAAGGGGGGGGAAGGGTGTTCCCATTTGATAAAGAAAATGTTTTCAGAAATGAGACATCTGGAACCCTTATTATTATTATTACTATTATTATAAAGCTGTGCTGGGATTTTAGATTAGGGATGTATGGATGCTTTCTCATTTCACTCAGTTTTTGCGTGATGTCAGGAAGACCATTTTCATCAGTCAAATGTTCCATTTTCACTGGTTTCTTTGACACCATCTTTACACTGTCTGCCATTTTATGCCATTTGTACTTGACACAAAAGTCAGTTTCAGTTGTAACAGCAATGGATTAGATGCCCTATGGATCTGGTCAACTATAGCAGTAGTACTTCCCTCTGGCATAGAACCTTGGTAGTGCGGGAAGGTGCCATCGTTGCCGCCACCTTTTGGCGACCCCGGAGGAGGAGGAGGAGATTGGATTTATACCCTGCCCTTCACTCGGAGTCTCAGAGCAGTTTACAAACTCCTTTCCCTTCTCCTCCCCACAACAGACACCCTGTGAGGTAGGTGGGCCTGAGAGAGCTCTGAGAAAACTGCCCTTTCAAGGACAGCTCTGACAGAACTATGGCTTGCCCAAGGTCATCCAGCAGCTGCAGGGGGAGGAGTGGGAATCAAACCCGGTTCTCCCAGATTAGAGTCCGCACACTTACCCACTACACCGAACTGGCTCATAGGGCAGAGGTGTCGAACTTATTTGTTACAAGGGCCAGATCTGACATAAATGTCCCTTTTTTCGGGCTGGGCCATGTCTGCCCTAAAACATAATGCCAGGTCCTGGAGATATAAACTGTATAAAGGACAGCAGCACATAAGCTCTGAGTTGGTGTATCCTCACTGCAAGGCCCCATGAGCTGGGAGGGGGGTACAAAGGAAAACCCACATGGGCGGGCTGGAGAGGCAGCAGCGCAGCACTAGGCAGACACTCCCACGATGCTTGGCTGCTGCAGATGAGGAGCAGCTCCTCCGAGGACTCCCTCCCTTGCACCAGTTGCTCACGGGCCGCATAAGAGCCCTGGACGGGCCAGTTCCGGCCCCCCGGGCCTTTTGTTTGGCACCCCCGCCATAGGGTTTTCAAGGCAAGAGATATTTAGAGGTGGTTTGCCATTGCCTGGCTCCGCATCGCAACCTTGGGCTTCCGGGGGGGGGGGGGGGG